AGAGACCATTGAAAGAAGCATGCAGTGTAGACGTACCCTTAAGGAGAGAGAAGGATCCTCTGGTGTAGAAAGCTGTAGCTTTCTCTACCGAGGAGATATTTCTGGGCTAGGGCTGTAGATATTCCCATGGACTGCATGGCTCCATGGTTGTGGTGGAAGGCCAAACCCTATCAGGAAGCTGCAAGGAACTTGTTTACATGAGCCTTCCTCCTCCAGAGAACTCCCTATAACACCCTGGTGAAGAATACCAGTGTTTACTGTGAAAGCGGGGGAAAAAAACATTAAGGCTTGCTTGCTAGGCAGCCAGCATCTTAGCCCTTCATGAGCAGATGCAAGCACTACGGCTGTGTATATTGAAATTATGGGAAGTGAGACTTGAAATACGTCAGGTCTGATTCTGATCTCACTTATAACAGTTATACACGGGTGTAACTCCATTGAACTCAGTGGAGCGCTTCCTGATTTAAACCAGTGCTGATGAAATTAGAATCAGGCCCTACATCTCTGGAGGAGTTTTGTACAGGGGGATTTATTTGCCTTAAACTATATTCTGCAAAGACTCTTTCAACCAGTCTCTGAATTTTTCTGCTGAAGCTGCAGGGTTGATAAAGCCCTTTTAGGGTACATCTACATTTCACTAAAAGACCTGTGGCACCGAGTCTCAGAGCCCAGGTCAGCTGACTTGGGCTTGCAAGGCTTGGGCTGCGGGGATAAAAATTGCAGCGTAGACATTCAGGCTCAGGCTGGAGCCTGGGCTCTGAGACCCTCCCTCCTTGTGGAGAGTTGGAGCTCAGCCTCCTTTCTGAGCCCAAACATCTGCACTGCAGCTTTGTAGCCTTGCAATCTGAGTCCCGGGAGCCCAAGTCAGCTGACCTGGCCCAGCTGTGGCCATGCCGCGGGCCTTGCAGTGTAGACATATCCTTAGACATGTTTCTCCAAGACTAAGGGGAGGAAACTTTGCTAATCATGTTTTAAACCAGTGGCATGAAAGACCTTTTTTAAAAGCTGGAGTGTGGAGGCTGAGCACCACCATCCATTTAAGAACTGCTTATCCATAAGAGTAACTGCAGCAATCAATGTATTACACTGAGCGTGTGCCTTGAAGATAAGGCTCTGGTCTCCCTACAGCTATTTCAGAGCATCTGTTTGCTGAAAGATGGATGAAATACATTTGTGCAAATGATCCATAATACCTCCCAAACGGAAGATATTTTAATTACTTGAGTACTGTACCTGCTTCATGGAGCAGATCCAAAGGAATGGAATGTTTAGTAGGTTGGTAATTATAGACCTTTTCACCTCTAGGAGCTAGGTTAAATCTAGGCCACCTCAGTAATGAGTAAAAGTTGTTACACTCACCTAATAGGCATCAAATGGTATTGCTGCCTGCAGTGACTCAAGGGTGTGAGTACCAACTTCAGGGCAGACTTTTAGGAAACAGGGCACAAACCCCAAACTGGCTGTGAGTTCTGTATTTAGATTTCACCAATGAATTATCAAGTGTAAACTCGTCAGGCACTATAACGGGGGGGAGGGATAGCTCAGTGGTTTGAGCATTGGCCTGCTAAACCCAGGGTTGTGAGTTCAATCCTTGAGGGGGCCACTTATGGATGTGGGGCAAAAATCAGTACTTGGTCCTGCTAGTGAAGGCAGGGGGCTGGACTCAATGACCTTTCAGGGTCCCTTCCAGCTCTATGAGATAGGTATATCTTTATAAGCCTTAACATCGAGTAACAGACAGTCCCCTTTGGTACCCTGGTCTATCTTATCACTCAGATAAGTTTATTTTTGTGATAGATGGTCCTTTACACCAAGAATGACAGCAATATTCAGGTTACTCCCAGTTCCAAAGGACCAGTCACTAACCCCAGGTCCATTGCACCTTAGATATCACCATGACCGAATACGCCCCTGTATTCATACCCTACATACTACTTTAATAATCTTTGTACAAAACATGCCTTGTAAGGTATCATTTTGAAACCTGTAATTTGCTAGTCAGTATTGTCCTGGTAAAATATGTGTGGCAACATTCTGTGTGAAGTTATAAGATTATCCTGTATGATGTTATTAACACATTTCCAAATGCCACAACCCTACCCAGGCAGAAGTCAGGTTTATACTAAAAAAAAGAAGGAATGTGTGTTTTGCCTTAATTTGCATTGAAGCAGTAAACAGAGTCATCAAGCAGGGAGGGCAAACAAAGGAGGTTCAAACAGGTGAAAAAAACCAGCAGGGAATATCCTTCTACATAGTCTCTTTGTCTCCTAGTTTTCAGCTGGAAATGTTTTTCAAGAGGGGGACTGAAACTATAAAAAAGGAGAGACAGTCACTCCAAGACACCCCCCCTCCCTGCCCATCACATTCACTGCATCTGAAGAGATAAAGGAAGCAGCTGTTAGAAAAAAGGTTCCCCACCCCCTGGTCTATCAGAGGCCACTGATCCACAGAAAAAAAATCGGTCGTGGGCCACACACAGCCCCACGGGGGGGCACGGAGTCTCAGGGCTTCTGGGGCCAGAAATTAGGGGTTCAGGGTGCGGGAAGGGGCTCTGGGCTGGGGCAGAGGGTTGGGGATCTGTTGTGGGTCTGGAGATGAGAGATTTGGGGTACAGGAGGGGGCTCCAGGCTGGGGCCAAGGGCTTTGGAGTGCGGGAGGGGGTTCCGACCTGGGGCAGGAGATTCGGGGTGCGGGCTCTGGCTGGACACTGCTTACTTCAGGCAGCTCCTGGTTGGCGGCACAGTAGGGCTAAGGCAGGCTACCTGCCTGCTGGAGCTCCGTGCTGCTCCCAGAAGCCTCTGCATGTTTGGCCCCTAGGCGGAGGGGCAAGGGGGCTTTGCATGATGTGTGCTGTCAGCGCCCACAGGCGCCACCCCCACAGCTCCCATTGGCTGAAGTTCCTGGCTATGGGAGCTACGGAGCCAGCGCTGGGGGCGGGGGCAGTGTGCGGCACTTCCCTGATCACCCCTGCTCCTAAGGGCCACAGGGACATGCCGGTCGCTGCCGGGAGCTGCGCGGAGCTGACCGGACTTCTGGCAACCTGGCGAGCATAAAACATAAAGATTCCAAGTTCCTTTTGTTGGGGGGCTTTTATCCCCCTCATGCCATGTGCTCAGAGATGCAAATTCAGCTAATGGGAGCAGTCCACTTGCCTGAGTCATCTTCACAGGGAGGAAAGCAGAATAACAAAAGTCTTTTGTCCTCTTGTTGCAATACATAGGAAATTCCAGTTGCAATGTCCAACAGTAGTATGTCTGGTATTGATGGACCTTTCCTTTTGGGAAGAGCATAATACTTACTCTTGAAGGTCAGCCCTTCACACTAATTAGTCTCTCTCTCCTGTCTTGTGATTTACGCAGTCACAGAGGTTCACAATACAACCACTTAAATATTACCTTACAATATGGCTACCGATGTTATAAGTGAGATTAATGCATGCAGCAACTCGTGACCATTCAGTAAAGTCTAAACACAGACTTATAATTCTAATACTAACACACAGGTGAGCCAGACTGACTATGGCTATGTACTTGTGAGTATTCAGTTGAGACATGGGGACCTTGGCATGAGCTGCCACCTGGTCTGCCAGTGTCACAGATGGCCTATGTGAAATGGTTTCCTGTAGCCATGTGTCAGCATAAAACTCACCAATATTTCATATCCACATTGGCAGTCCCAGCAGATAGGCCAAAAATTGAATGGACATGGAGACTGAGGGTTTGTCTACACATGAAATTATTCTTGAATAGGTATTCTGGAATAACTATTCCTGAATAAATCCATATGTACATAAATTAGTTTAAATCACTTTGGAAGTGGATTGAGCTAAACCAGAAAAAGGCACTTTTATTTTAGAATAAAAGTACACTGCTGGAGTTATTCTGGAAGTTATTTCATTTGAGCGCTTAACTATGGGGGGACACTGCGCAAAATTAATCCAAAGTAACTTTTAAAGTGGATCAGTTAACCATATTAAATGCCTTCAAAATTCCTGGGTGGATACTCGTCTTTACTTTGTGAATTAAACTAATCTGAATGAAAGCCGCTTGAATTCTGAATGACAGTATCCATACATCAAAGGGGTAGCCGTGTTAGTCTGACATGCATCCGACGAAGTGGGTATTCACCCACGAAAGCTTATGCTCCAATACGTCTGTTAGTCTATAAGGTGCCACAGGACTCTTTGTCGCTTTTTACAGTATCCATACAGGAATTTAATGCTATTTGCCTAATTCACACCTTCAGTTAATTCAGATTAATTTTCCTGAATGTCCCTGTGTAGACAAGCCCTAAAATTCACATTTTACTTTCATCTGGAATAAGTTTAATGTATAGACAAACCCTGAGCTACTGTCTCCACCTCAAGGTAGCCCCTCCAGACAGGGGCTTGTCTACATAGTGGGGTAATGTCCTCTATTGGGGTGTGATTTCTAAAGCGCATTAATGTGCTGTGCATTAACTGATCCATGTAGACCCTACTGGTGCGCACTAAAGGTTTCCTAGTGTGTTTTCACATAGTACTGTTTTAAACAGCACTTTCACAAAAGGCACTTGCAGCATCCACTCTGTGGCTAAACCAAAGATTTCACTCTTTCATCAGTGCTAAATTCTTATACACTCTTTACACAGAATAGCCCTTAACTGCTGTTCCATTTCCATCTGCGTGGAAGTGTTGACATTCAGTGAACTCTGCCACATTCTGCTGCTGCACAGAGTGTGTGGCAGGGAACAGCAATTAAAGGGTTGACATTTTCCCTTATTTTTTTAACAGGACACGTGTCAAAACACAATGATCAGAACATACTTAATGCAGAAACATAATTAATACTAAAATATGAACAGAAATCAATTACTGCAATGGGAACTGTTGAGTACTCAGCATTTTTGAAAATCAGAACACTGATTTAGTTGCCTAAATATGGGTGTAGGACCCTAACTTTTAGATCTTATTTCTGAGACCCTGGGCCACAAAGCCTAACCACTTCCATTTTTTTATTTAGGATACTGCTGGACAAGAGAGATACAGGACTATCACTACAGCCTATTATCGAGGCGCTATGGGGTTCATCCTGATGTATGATATCACCAGTGAAGAGTCGTTTAATGCAGTGCAGGACTGGTATGGAACAAATGATTGTTATCCCTCTTTTTTATTTTTTAAGCCAGTTATCTCTTCACCAATGCTTGTGGACTGTTTCATGTGGGTTGGGAGTAATTTCCTTACCCCCCTGCAGTTGCTTTGTATTACTATGTTCTTCATCATTCATTTGAAATTCAGAAGAAATGTTTCACTATGGAATTGCGCTTGAGAAAAAGTTGCACAATTCCACTAGCTAGTTCCTTTAGGGTTTAAAAAAATTTTTTTATAACAGATTTTATTTCCAGTGGTGGATTTTTAAAGCTCTTGTTCACAGCAAAAAAAATATATATACGGTAATACACAACGCTTATGGGTTATTAAGGTTCTTCCCTATAGAGCCACTACAACCCAGTAAAATGCTGGTTTTACAGGCCAGTTGGACACAGCCAATCATTATTATAACCTGGGTAAAATCTAAAGAAGAGGGGTAAAATTTTCAAAAGCACCTATTCCCATTTTCAAATGTGATTTAGGCATTTAAGAGCCTAATCACTTTTGAAAATGGAACTTGGGATCCTCTGTGACATAGGAGGTTTTGAAAACTTTAGCTGAGGTTTTCCAATTAACCTTTACGAACTCTATGGAAAAGGTTAATTGGTCTTATCAATTTTCAGCTGTGGTGCCTGGTTCAGTTCCATTATATACTCACTGCAACCTTAGTGAACCATTATCATTGCGGTACTGAGAGTGCATGTGGTTAAAGCTGCCTAAGACCCAAATAAAGTATTAATGGGGAAAAAATAATACTGAATGTATCAATATATGCTTTGTGGCGTTTTGAACCACCTTAGCTTAGCTGGGGAGGGGCGAGCCCTGAAAGTGTAACAGAGAGTAACTTTCAATACTTTCACAAGGGGCTCTGATAAAAAAAATATCTTTAACCTTTAATAGGCCCTATGTCCAAGGAATGCATGTGTTGTAGTGAGCAGGGTTAGGGATTGGAGAATCTCTTATTTGTGTTCACAACCAGGGAAGGAGACAACAGCATGTGGCAAACAAACTTATATTCAGGAGGAGGCAACAGCACATAGGAGACAAATTTGTATTACCTGCACCTGTTGGAGATATTTATTGCTCTTAAAAATATGCTGATCATACTGAGAATATGGCTCAGTGTCAGTGTTGCCAGGTGTCTGATTTTTCGACTGGAAAGTCCAGTCAAAAGGGAACCTGTACAATGTCCGGTCACCGCAGGGCAACAGACGGGGTGCCGGGTCATCAACCCATGCCAGGTCCTGCCCTGGGGGAGAGGGGTGTAACACCTGTGTGTGTGAGAGGGGGGGTGCCCTGGGAAAGGCCTCAGTGTGGGGGAGGGAGTTGCAGAGCAAGCCCGCCTCACGCTCACCCCATAGCGGCAGCTCCTGCGGCTCTTGTCTCACGGGGCTGTCTGGGCTTGGCCCTCCAATCCAGGGGTTGCAACCTGTCCCCTGGTGCATGGGGCTGGGGGTCAGGCCAAACCTGAACAGTGCTGTGTGACTAAGTGCATCAGAGGTCAGGTTGCAACTCCGAGAGCGGGGAGCCAAACCCAGCCAGCCCTGTGTGATAGGAGGGTTTGTGGGTCAAAGTGGGAGAGTCCCATGAAATCTGGGACTGTTGAGGGTGGTCTGCCAAGGGTCTGTCTAGTCCAATAACTTGACTGAAATCAGCAAGTGCTAGGTGCTTCAGAGGAAGGTTAAAAAACCTCTTGGTGGACAGCTATGGAATAATCTGCTCAGTTTCTCCCTAACCCCTCTCAGATTGGTTGGTTTATGCCCTAAAGCATACGAGGTTATATCCCTTCTAAAAAATCCCAACTTTATTTATACACCACAACATAGGGTTTGGTGAGGCTCAAGTGAATGGAGACTTGTGAGCATTGGCATCAGGAGCCCAAACAGCTCCTTCATTTACAGCTCCTCAGTGACCAGTTCAAGGCCTCTTATTTGCAAGTGGCTGAGAGCAAGCTTTGAAAACCCAAGGCACTGACCGACTAATTGTCCAGTGTTGCCACATCCTCAGCAAAGAGCCCAGGTAAGATGGTGCTCAGCTGTATGGAGAATTCTTTTTAAATTCTGACTTAAAACTGTATTCAACGTATGGTGGAGGGGAATGGGGGAGTAATAAATTAGTATTGTTGGGGAATGGTAGGGTTTAACCCTAAAACTAGTCTCTGGGCCAGATCTTCAGCAAGTATAAATGGGAGTAGCTTCATTAACTTCAGTAGAGATACAGTGATTTACATCTGGCTCTTTAATTATAAACTTTGGAAATAGTTTGGCTTTTGCAATGAAAAATATAAAGCCATTGGTCAATCACATTTTAAGCTCAAAAACAGTATCTGTCTTTGGGCTTGCAAGTTGAAGCTGACATTGAGAAAATGCTGATTTTATTTCGGTCTTCTATATAAATGGCTGAAACATAATCTGGTACTAGAATGTATACCCAGCTTAATGTTACTACAATGTTAGAACAGCTTTCACTCAGAAAATATACAGCTTAACAGTGGGGCTAGGTCTTTTCCCTCTTCAGTGAGAGCAAGCCCAAAGAATCTCTAAAACAGCTTACTGTAATCACTCCTTTTTCTCCTCTTACTGCTTATGGGTCATATAGTAGAAAGGGTTTGTCAGTTTGCAAAGAGGCAGCCCAATGATTTAAGGAATCTAGAATGATTTGCAGGGCTTTTAGTGACCTTGCTGGAGTCTGATAGACATGTATGTGACTTTTACAGTTTCCCTAAATGATCACCGTTAAAGCACATCAAAACTTGTTCTGGAATTATCTGGCAGTGGAAATATGATAGTTTTGGTATTAACTGTCAGCATCAAGTTCAGTTCAGGTTTCTGTTGAATAACAGTTCTCTTTAATAGTGTGTGTTTGAGATCTCAGGGTCATTATAATTATGCAGAAAGCATATGTATTACTAGAAGCTATACATCACTTTCCCATCTGTATAACAGTATGTTGTCCAACCTTCAAACACTAAAGGAGCATTTCCATCAAGGCATGTTAAACACAATTTTGATTAGAAACTACTGCAGATTTATGCCTAAATAATGAGGAACTCCATACTTAATTAGCTGTTAAACTCACAAGCAGAGGTATGAATCATATCACTGGAAATGTGTGGAACCATGAGTTAAAGGAGAGCCCCTCCCGTTAATAGTTTGTTTTGAATTCTCAAGTGACCACTCAGAGCTCCAAAAGTCTAATGGGCATCTTGGCCAATTAATCCCAACTACTGATATTTAGAGAATTTCATTCTGGAGTTGTACGCCCACACTTCAGACTTCCTTAGGTCATCTACAGAATCATACCACTGCATATGTGATGGGGCCACTTGGGTTTTCCAGTTAAGGAATAAAAACATAAGAATGGCCATACTGGGCAAGACCAAACTATCCTGTCTTCCGACAGTGGCCAATGCCAGGTGTCCCAGAGGGAATGAACAGAACAGATAATCATCAAGTGATCCATCCCCTGTCACCCATTCCCAGCTTCTGGCAAACAGAGGCTAGGGACACCATCCCTGACCATCCTGGCTAATAGCCATTGATGGACCTATCCTCCATGAATTTATCTAGTTCTTTTTTGAACCCTGTTATAGTCTTGGCCTTCACAACATCCTTTGGCAAGGAGTTCCACAGGTTGACTGTGCGTTGTGTGAATATGACTTTTCTTGTGGAACGGCATGGCACTCTGGTGAGAGAGAGAGACTGGCCATACCTTCCTAGAGAGACATAACAAAGGGTAACATGAGAATGAAGGACCTAGGAACCATCCCGTTCTGGCAACAATTGCTTTCCTTGAGTTAGTAAAACAGAACAAATGCACATAATAATGTGTCCTAGGAAGCCTCTACCTGCAGTTTATGATCTCATTTGATAGTTTCTCATATATGGTATGGGAGTCTGATAGCCTGGTCAGTACTGGTTGTACTGAGGGAACAGACTCTTCACCATCATTTCAGGCCTGGTCTACACTACAAAGTTAGGTCGATGCAAGGCAGTTTATGCCGACCTAGTTGAGCATGTGTCTTCACTTAAATTTGTCTTCCACTTATGTGAGTGCCCCGCCACCCTCCACCCCCGTGTCCCGATATTTTCTTCCTCTCATCTGGTCACCCTAGGTGCCAAGCCACAGACCTGCCGCTTTTACAAAGAGCTGCATCCCATCCTCAGCAGATACCCCACCGCTGCACACATCCGCACCACGGATACCTCTGAGGAGCCCGAGTCACAGGCCTCTGCCATGAACCGCGAGGAGGAGGAGGTGGTTGACAAGGAAAGGGGGGGTATGAGGGATAGGCCTTTTTTGCTGGAACTGAGTCAGCACCAGGGGTTGGGCTGCACCCTGTAAAAAGTTATTCACAATCCTTACTCAAGCATTCGCTTCCCAGTGCCCTGGAGGAATTCCGGCTGAATCAGCCAGGCTGTCTCTAGAATGCCCCCCGTTGGCATCTCCCAATGTGGGGTGGAAGCTAAAAGCTACAATACAGTCTTTTGTCGTTAATACTTGGCTTTCCCCCAACTTGTTTGGTTTTAGCCACCATTTTATTCTTGATATGGCTGAACCCCATCAGGCAGTCACACATGGTTTTTGCCTCCATGCAGATCTCAAGAACCACCTCCCAAACCATGACATCACACTAGTCACATAAACCTCACCCACTCTCCTGAACCACCCTCCAGCAACTAAAAATCATTTCTGTAATGCTAACCCCTTGGTGCACAAATCTAAAGGTTCTGCCAAAACCTGATTCTTCTGCATAACCATCATGCTCTTTCCACCAAGCCAATGGCCTTCTCTCCATTAATCACAGTTTGTGTGCAGTGACCTTTTCATATATTAGTGCAGATGTGAATTGCGGTATCTTTCATTAAACTAGAAATACCTTCTTGTGATACATCTCTGTGATATCAGTCTTAAAGTAAGGATGATGTGCTTAATGCTACCCCATAATGCATATGGACAGGTTTATTAATGGAGAAGATTTCACTCTT